ATCAATTTTGGCAGTATAGCCATTTTCACTATGTTAATTCTGCCTATCCAGGAACATGAGAGATCTTTCCATTTCCTGGTATCCTCTGATTCCTTTTTTTAGGCTTTTATAATTTTCATGAAATAGATCCTTTACATCTTTGGCAAGGTTACTTTCTAGACTGATTTTTGTGGGTTAATTTTGTATCCTGCTACTTTGCCAAAGTGGTTTAAAAGCTCTAAGAGTTTGGGGATGGAGCCTTTGGGATCCCTAAGGTATAAAATCATGTCATCTGCAAAAAGAGATAGTTTAACTTCTTCCTCCCCTATGCAGATCCCCTTAATGTTTTTTTCCTGCCTTATTGCTCTGGCTAAGGATTCCAGAACTACATTGAATAGGAGTGGGAAGAGTGGGCATCCTTGCCTTGTTCCTGTTTTTAGGGGAATTGGTTGTAGTTTTTCCCCATTAAGTATGATGTTGGCTGTTGGTCTGTCATATAAGGATTTTATTGTCTTAAGGAATGTTCCTTCTATTCCAATTTTTTCCAGAACTTTTAACATGAATGAATGTTGTATTTTATCAAAAGCCTTTTCTGCATCAATGGAGATAATCATGTGGTTCTTGATCCTGTGATAGATTACATTTATTGACTTACATATGTTAAACCATCCCTGCATCTCTGGGATGAAGCCTACTTGGTCATAATGTATGATTTTTTTTTGTTTCTAGATTCTGTTGGCTAGAATTTTATTGAAGAGCTTTGCATCTGTGTTCATCAAAGAGATTGGTCTGTAGTTCTCTTTTTTTGTTGGGTCTTTGCCTGGTTTGGGGATGAGTGTGATATTGGCTTCATAGAATGAGTTTGGGATTACTCCCTCAGCTTCTATTTTTATGAAGAGCTTGAGAAGTAAGGCTATTAGTTTCCTCTTTAAAGGTCTTATAGAATTCCATAGTGAATCCATCTGGTCCTGGGCTTTTCCTTGTTGGAAGGTTTCTGATTGCTTCCTCTATCTCGTTGTAGGTTATTGGCGTATTTAATTGATTTATTTCTTCTTGGTTCAGTTTGGGCAATTTGTATTTCTCTAGGAATTCATCCATTTCTGCTAGGTTCTCCTTCCTTTGTGAGTATAGAGTCTGGAAATATTTCTTTATAATTGTTTGGATATCTTGGATGTTTGTTGCAATTTTTCCTGTGACATCTTTGATCTTATTGATTTGGGTCTCCTCTCTTCTTTTTTTAGTTAATCTTGCCAGTTGTTCATCAATTTTATTGATTTTTTTCAAAAAAAACAGCTTTTTATTTTATTAATTTTATTTATAGTTTTCTTAGTCTCTATTTTGTTAATTTCAGCTCTTATTTTGGTTATCTCACTCTGTCTAGTGACTTTAGGTTCAACATTTCTTGTGTCTCTAGCAGTTTTAGTTGCAGTTGCATCATGAGATTGTTTATTAGGTCTGTCTCTGTTTTCTTGATATGCACACTGAGAGCAATAAACTTGCCCCTCAGGAATGCTTTCACTGTGTCCCATAGGTTTCCTTGTGATGTGTCTTCATTTTCATTGAATTGTAGGAACTTTTTAATTTCTTCTTTAATTTCTTCTATGGCCCATGTGTTGCTCAGCAGTGTGCTGTTTAATTTCCATGTGTTTGAGTTTTTTCTACTGTATGCCTTGTTATTGAGAACTAGTTTGATTCCACTATGGTCAGATAAAATACAGGGGATTATGTCAATCTTCTTGTATTTGCTTAAATTCTTTGCATGAACTAAGATATGATCTATTTTAGAAAAATTTTCCTGGGCTGCTGAGAAGAATGTGTACTGGGTTGTTGTTGGGTGGAAAATGATATGTCAGTTAAGTCTGTTTAAGATACGATATTATTTAATTCAGAGACTTATTTGCCAATTCTTTAGCTGGTGGACCTGTCCTTTGGTGAGAGTGGAGTATTAAAGTCTCCTAGTATTATTGTATTTGGATCCATCATTTCCTGTAAAGCTGAGAGTATTTGCTTAATGGGTGCACTGATGTTTGGAGTGTATAGATTGACAATGGTGATGTCCTCTTCTTGGATTGTTCCCTGTATTATTATATAGTAACCTTCTTTGTCTTTTCGTAGTGATTTTAGTGTAAAGTTTATTTTATCAGATATCATAATGGCAACTCCTGGCTTCTTGCTCGGAGCATTTGTATGATAGATCTTTCTCCATCCCTTCACTCGGTATTCACTTTTATCTTTGGTTGTGAGGTGGGTCTCATGAAGACAGCAAATTGATGGATCTTGTTTTCTGATCCAGTCTGCAGTTCTTTTTCTTTTGATTGGTGAATTGAGTTCATTAATATTTATGGTTATTATAGAGATAAAACAGTCTTTAGGTTGGTGGGAATGCAAACTTGTCAACGCTCTGGAAAGCAGTATGGAGGTTCCTCAAAAGATTAAACACAGAGCTGCCTATGACCCAGCAATCCCATTTCTGGGCATTTACCCAAATGACCACAAACAGGCCACACTAAAGCTACCAGCACAACAACCTTTATCACAGCATTATTTATCATAGCGAAGATATGGAACCAATCCAGATGCCCCTCAGTAGATGAATGGATCAAGAAAATGTCTCTCTCTCTCTCTCTCTCTCTCTCACACACACACACACACACACACACACAGTGGAATTTTATGCTTCAATCAGAAAGAATGATGACACACCCCATTCATAAGGAAATGGAAGGACTTGGAAAAACTGTTATTATGTGAACTAAGCCAGACCCAAAGAAACATAGGTCCCATGGCCTGCCTTATTTGTAATTAGTATACATCTAGGATAATGTTAGAAGATGAACAAAATAGCCCAATAGCTATGTACATATGACCATATAAGATGATGCTAAGTGAAATGAACTCCAAGACATGAACACAAGAGGTTTTTCTTTGTTGTTGTTGTTCTAATGTACTATGTGATTTCTTTTTTCTTTTGTGTTTTTTCCCTCTATGGTTTATCCCCTGTTGTCACTGTATTCAGTTTTGGTACACTGGGTATTGTGTATATGTTTATCTGAATTAAGGAAGGGAAGGGGAACAAGAAAATGGTGAGACAAAGAACAAAAAGGGAACCTATGCAACAGTGATACTCACAAGACAATATGTTGGAAATGATCTGTACAACTTGCAGGAGAGAGGATTAGGGGAAGGGGAAGAAAGAGGGAGAAAAATGAGGAAAGCGGTACCAAGTTAGACAAGAAATGTAATCACTACCTTATGTAACTGTAACCTCTCTGTGCATCACCTTGACAATAAAATTAAAAAATAAATAAATGAAACATTCTTTAGCCAAATAATGCATGTATACAAGTTAAATTATACCTAATATCGAGAACCCTATTGGACTGCAAGGTTCTTTTCAAATATCACTTCCACCAATGTCTTCCCATACTATCCATCTATAGATAGGTGAGGACCTACTCCTCCACAGGTTTCTGTTTTAGCATTTCTTAGATATCATGTATTTATTCTTATAAACTTGTGTCTCCTCTGTTTAATCTGGCATGCAGAGATTTTTATTTTTAATTTTATTTTTAATTTTATTTTTAATTTTATAATGTTTTATACAAAAAGATGAACCATATCATATCACATACATTTATAAAACTGAATCTAAACTCTCTGGTCATGTCATCTAGTTTAAAAAAATGTGAAGATGTAGATCAGTAATGGTATACTGGTCTCAGTTATTGTGGTTGTAATACTGTCTGTGGCTGGGCAGGTGGTGCATACCTGTAATTCCAGTACTCAGGAGACAAGATTCAACCTCTGAACAATTTTTAGGAAAAGGAATCCCACAGAGGAAGACTACACCTTGAGCACATATGGAGTGTTTACAAAACTGGCCATCCTTATTTCCTTTCAGTATTCACACTGCATCCTTGTTCTAGCATAGAGTATATTTTCACACTTCTAAGACTCTCTTGTGACTTCTTAGGCCAATCAAACATGGTATAAGTATTGATATGCTACTTTAAGCCTAAACTTGAAGAAGCCTTGTATAATAGTATAATCTCTCACTCTCACTCTTGTACTTACTCTCTTTTCTCTCAACCATTGTGATGGCATGTTAATAAACTCAGGCTGATCCATAGTAATCTTGTCTATCACCACAGACGATATCCACCTAACCTCTGAAATAGAGATGTTTATCCAACTCTTTACATGTGAAAGAACCCAGGCAAAATGAGAACTACTCAGCTAAGCTTAGACTAAATTGTGAAATCCAGAACTGTGAGTTGGATGGTTATTATTAAGTTATAACATTAGAAGTAGTCCATCATGCAGCAATAGTTTACTACAAACATAGGAAAAACAATTACAATCTGACAGAAACCAAAATTTTCCATTGGAAGGTTTCTTTGCAAGTCAAGAAGCCACCCTTTAAAAAAAAAAGCCACCCTTGAAAGTACAAAATGCTCTAAAAAATAAAAATACAAAGACCAGCTTTGAAGTGGAGGCTATTTTTTAAATGAATAATAAAAGTAGGCTTCCCTTTCCTTGTGGAAACTCAAAACCTACCCAAATGCTAACCTTCCTTCGAATCTCCCTTAAGCACCATGATTGTTCATTAGTTATACATAGATGGGAAATTATATTAGAAAGAGGCCTGGCCTTTAACCTAAAGTATGTCTAAACCCACATTCTAGTTTTATCCATTGTGTCTCAGTTAAGTTTCTTAACTCTTTCGATCTGATTCCTAATCTCTTAACTGAAAATTAGTAGCTCTCAAGTTCTTGGCTAGCTGGGAAAACTAAATTCTACATGCTAAACATTACATATGTACTCAAAAATAAAGAAATTTTTGTTTTATTCATTCATAAAACTTTGACTGGATGCCTAAAGTATGCAAGGCTATATACACTAGATGCTGGGAGAAAGGAAACAATCACTAATGATACCACATATAACTGCCATCTACCAATAATTTTTCCTATGCATAGCTTTCCAATTAGCTAAAGCACAGTTTTAAAAAAAAGACTCACTTGACAGCTCACATCCATTCCTGCTTCCAATAGCACCTGTACAACTGCTTTATGACCATTACGGGCAGCAAGGTGGAGTGGTGTGTGCTTTCGGGTATTGCAGCTCATTAAGTTCGGATGTGCAGTGATGATCATTTTGACGACTCTCAGCCGTCCATAGAGTGCTGCCAGGTCCAATGGGGTCTCCAGCTTGCTGTTCCTAATTGTAGGGTCAGTGAGTTCTTCTAGAAGAACTGCAACTACTTCTGAATGTCCATATTGAGCAGCACAATGTAGGGCTGTTTCATTTTCATTGTTCTGTTTAAGGCAAAGACACATTTTCACAAATTCAGTTAGTTTTCAAAATTATAGTCATTTAAACCTTGATAACGTTTTGAAAACATAAACTTAAGATTTATGTGTTTTTGTAAATATGACTAATTCTATTTTGTATTTGATAAAATATTATCATTATATCAGAAATATCATCTTTTATTTTTGCCACTTTAATATGAAAAAGAAAACTTTTCTCTGCATCATATATTCCAACTTCATGCTAGGCCCAGATGGCCAGTGTTTTCCACACTGTGCATAATGTCTCCATGACATTTGTTAATGAGAGGGATTAATAACAATTATAACACTTTCAGTAGTGGTGTTTTGCAAAAGTCAATTGAGTTGATAACTTCTTTAAAATCAGAGGTTTGCAGAAAGTCTTCTCAAATTAAGTTTCATTTTATTTTCCATCGACATAAAGTATCACATTCTTTTGAAAAGAGAATCAATAAAAAAATCATTATTTTTCTTATTTGCAAAGAGAGAGGGCAATCTGACTGTAAGATATAAAAGTGCTTTTCTGAAACATAATTATAGATTAAGAGTCAGATTTAAGTCCCATGCAAGTTATCAGGATTATCATAGTACTACCTGTGTAGCTTATAAATGCTTTCGCTGAAAATCAATGAGATTTTCCTACAAATTCAGCAAGATTAATATAAAAAACCCAGTTCCAAGGCAGATCAAGTCTTCAGACCATTTAAGCTGACAGCATAGAAGATAAGGTCTTGATAATCAAGAAGAAGCAACCAGATGATCCTGACCATAAGTCATCAAAAAATATTAGCAAACAGTATTTTTATAATAAAAATATATATGGAAAAAAATGTCAACAAAAAACTTTAGCATAAATAGAACACTCCTAAGTGAATGTTCTGGGAAGAATGAGCACCTGCATTATCACAACCATCACTTTATATAACATTAGGAAACAGACAGGTTGCATTTCATACATGTTTACTTATGTAATCCTCAAAAGGAGATAGATACTATTATTTTAGTATTTTAGTATTTTAGATATGAAGAAACTAAGGCACTGAGTCATAGAATATGATTACACAGGTATTCATTCAGTCATGGTCCAAGATTTAAACCAATAGCCCAGACCCAAAGTAAAACAATTAATCAACATGCCACTTTCTAAAAAAACTGTTACTATTTCCATTGGCAGAAATTTTACATATATTATCTCACTGAATTCTTATAACAATCCTGCAAGACAAGTATTATCTCTATTTCATATATGATACAACTAAGATTCAAAAAGGTATAATACATGTTTAGCAGCAGTAGCATCCTTGACACCTATATTTGTCCAAATCTAAAAGTCATGCTCTTTGCACTATCTTACACTATGCTATTTTACACTATCTTACACATTGCCATGTTGCCAAAGAAGAACCAGTAGAAATTAGTGTTCTAAAAGGAAAATTTCTAGGGATCTTGCCCCATAACACTGAGGTGGTAGGAAATGGCTGCTTAGATAGCAATTCCCACCCAAAAAGGACAAGGCAAATTCAAACCAAAGTAAATTTTAATCTCTTTCTAGAAAGCATCTCAAGCTTACTCTGAATGATAAAAAGAATACAGACCAGTAAGAGTCTACAGGAAAGATTTAAAAATTTAAAAAGAATAACAAGGGGAGAGGGCGGGGGAGAGCACTAAGAAAGGCTTTTTGGTACTTTGTGTTTCTGCTAAGAATCGACAGAAGGCAGTGGGGAGTCAAATTCACAGGAAAAAAAAAAACTATTCATTAGACACAGTAATTAAAAAAAAAAAAAAAAGCTTAAGACCTGACAGACGGGAATCCAACTGAAGATGGTGTTTTTTCATCATTTGTAGGAAGAGATTCTTTTTTATTTTTATTTATTTATTTATTTTTTGGTGTCAGTAATGGGATTTGAAGTTTGGCTTGGGAACTGTCACTAAGCTTTTGTGCTAAGGCTAGCAATATACCACTTGAGCCACAGCTCCACATCTGGCTTTCTGGTGGTTAACTGGATATGAAAGTCACACACTTTCCTTCCCAACTGGCTTGAAACCTTAATCCTCAGATCTCAATCCTCCTAAATAGGAGGACAGGCAGGAGCACTGGTGTCTAGTAGGAGTAATTCTTTGGGGTTTTTGTTGTTGATGGTGGTGGTGGTGGTCATCGTGGGGCTTGAATTCTGGACCTGGGCTCTGTCCCTGAGTTCTTCAGCTTGAGTCTAGCACTCTACTACTTGAACCACAGCACCACTTCCCTGGCAGAAGCAATTCTTATATTTGGTTTGACTGTGTTACTATAATCCTCCTCATAAAAACTGACCACATATAAGTTTAGAAACTGTGATTTGGTATTGTTGTTGTTGCTGTTGTCATAATTGCTGTTTGTCCATTTGTTTGCTTGCTTGCTTGCAGTTCTGGGGGTTGAACCCAAGGTCTCCAGCAAGCGAGGTAAGTGCTTTATCACTTTATATGTCATATTATTTTATACACTATATCATTTTATAGCATAAAAATATGACATAGAATATATGTTCTGACCCACCTAATTTCATTTTGAATTGAATTTGATTGAATTTCATTTTTCTAACTACAGTACCTCCTGGGGAAAAAAAAGGGAAAAGCTAATTGTGAAGTAATAATTTCTCAAAGATCTGCTTTTCCATAGTCCTCAAACTATGACAATACAAGAGCAAAATATAAAGTTTTTCTAATATTATCAATTAGCATTGTTCAAATCTCAAGATAAATTATTTCAATATTTTAAACCTATTTTTATCCATGATCAACATATACTTGAACTGTCATACCAGTGGAGACCACTGTAGCTTCTTTACAAAGACATGATTGTATACATATGTCCACAGTCACTAGTCTAAATATAAAGCCATCTAATCTGAAATAGGCTGTGAAAGAGCACTGATTAATAATTGTTAATATGTATATACAAAAATTCTTAAGCTTTATAGTTTCTTTTTAAAAAAACTAATTTGATGTTCTCTGACAAATTAGGACACCTTTAGACAATGGGTGGCAGAACAAAAAAATGACTGATAAAAACCTATTTATCAAAAGATCTTACTTCAAAGTGAAACATTTAACACAATGTTCAGAAAATGACCAAAGGTAATGTATTTTTGAGATGTGCATCTTCTGATGTTTGCCACATGTTAAAATAGATTTTTAAAAATAGAGAAAAACAAAGTGAAAGTGACGGAAAAATGAATATATATACAACATATTTATCACCAGACAAAAGGAAATAAATCCATTGTAAAATATAGGAAGTATGTGACAATTACAAAAACCATAATCTGATGGGTACCAGTGGCTTACTACTGTAATCCTAGCTAGTCAGGAAGCTGAGATCTGAGGCTCACAGTTCAAAGCCAGTCCAAGCAGGAAAGTCCATGAGACTCTTATGTCCTATAAACTACCCAGAAAAAGCTAGAAGTGGAACTGTGGCTCAAGTGGTAGAGCGCTAGCGTTGAGCACAGAGAGGCTTGGGGACAGAATCCAAGCCCAGACTTCAAGCTGCAAAGCAGAAAAAAAAAGAAATTATAAAAACCATAATCTGGAAGGAGACATTGTTTTTCCAAAATTATCACTCTAACTACCAATTATAACAGAATAGAATGGTGTACAGGACTTAAGACTGAAATGTGCAACTTAACAATGTCAAGTGACTGATCTCTCCAAACCTCTTACCTGTGCTTGTAAGAATATTATCTTTTCTATAAACCTTACAGTGTGGTTTAGAAATCAAAAGACAATGTATAAAAATGCTTTGAAACCTTCAAACATTAAGATGTAAAATATCTTTATTTTTAAAGAAAGCTGTACATTGGTCTCCCCTTATCTATGGTTTCTCTATCTGCAGTTTCAATTACATGCAGTCAATCAAGTTGTTAATATATTAAATGGATATTAAATGGAAAATTCCCGAAAAAATGACTCAGAAGTTTTTATTTGTGCACTTGTTCTAAGCAGCATAATGAAATCTTACAGCATCCTGTCTATCATGCCCAGATAGTAAATCATCCTTTTGTCCAGTATGTCTATACTGTTATCTACAACTAGGGTTACATAGTGGACATCTCAGTTATCAAATCAGCTCTCATGGTATGCAGAGCTTAAAGCATAAGATCCCAAAGCATAAGAGCAATGATGAAAAGGAGAAACAGAGCACTTCTAGTAGAGCTATGTACTATGATACTATGTAGCTGCAGGACATATAGGAAAAACCATAGTATAAACAAGGTTTGCTATCACTGTCATTTCAGGCATCCACTAAGGGTAGTAGAATAGATCTCTCATGATTAAGGTAGCACTTAATGAGAAAACAAAGATAACTTTCAGAAATTAGAAAGAATCCTTGGATATGGTACATAATTTCAAAAGCATAGTATAATGTATTATTAAGAGATTGGGCCATGGATCAGAAAACCCTGTATTCAAATATGAACTGCATTTCTAAGTAGCTGTGTGTAATATCATGTGCAAGTCATTTCATATCTAAGGCTGAATTCTCATACATAGAGGAGGAGTGATCATTATTATCCACCTTTTGTGGCTATAATAGAGCTTACTGAGGCAATGTAAATGAAATGCTTTACACAATGCCTGGCACAAAGTAAACATTCTATAAGTGATAAGATTTAGGATGAAAATACTATATGCTACTGTGTAGCGCACAGAAGTCAAAGGTCCTTAATTCACATGTCTTTTTTTTGGTGGGGGGGGGGAGTCAAAGGTCCTTAATTCACATGCCTTTTTTGGGGGCGGGGGGAGTGTTGGTCATGGGGCTTGAATTCTGTCCCTCAGCTCTTCAGCTCAAGGCAAGCACTCTACCATTTGAGCCACAGTGCCACTTCCAGTTTTCTGGTGGTTAATTGGAGGTAAGAGTCTCACAGACTTCCCTGCCTGGACTGGCTTTGAACAGCTATCCTCGAATCTCAGCCTCCTAAGTAGTTGGATTACAGGTGTGAGCCACTGGTGCCTGGCTTCACATGTCATTTTTATTCACTCAATAACATGTGGCCTTAGAAAATTTAGCTTAAGCCAGGCGCTGGTGGCTCACACCTGTAATCCTAGCTACTCAGGAGGCTGAGATCTGAGGATCGCGGTTCAAAGCCAGCCCGGGCAGGAGAGACCGTGAGACTCCTATCTCCAATAAACCACCAGAAAACCGGAAGTGGCACTGTAGCTCAAGTGGTAGAGCGCTCGCCTTGAGCTGAAGAGCTGAGGGATAGCGGCCAGGCCCAGAGTTCAAGCCCCATGACCGACCAAAAAAAAAAAAGAAAAAGAAAATTTAGCTTAACTGAGCCTGATTTCTCATCTAAAATGGGAATGATATTGGCTTATTATTTTAAATTTTTATTTATAAAATTTACACTCCCATATCAGAAACTTTTAGGAAAATTGGTATGGAGAACTATGTCACTACTAAAGGAGAATATACTTAGCAAACAAACAAAAATACATAAAGTATGGCATTCAAAATCTGAGGAAATTTTCTGACTTGCTGCCAATAGGATCCACAACACAAAAGACTAAACATAAAAAAAATTAAAAACACTGCTTTGCATTTCAATTTCCTTAAAAAAAATTTATAATGTATCTGTTCAATATTACCAAACAAATGATTCCCTTAACATCAATTGAGCTATAATTTGAAATTTTCAGCTTTCAAATATAAATGAGTACTATGTTTTACTTATTTTCATGTCATTTAAAAGCATACTCTTCTTTAACCTTGATTTTGCTTTTCCATTTCATTACTTCAGTTTTGCTTTGCGTCATTCAGACAGTTTTAAGAATAACCACCAGATGGCTCATCCCATAAATGATAAATTTTGGCTTTCTCGCGAATAAAATTCTCATAAATTTTCCTTTAACATATCTGAGATAAACACAGCTATATCTGTCATTTAAAAAAAAGATTGAATGTATTCTTGTGGTAAAATTCCACAGTTTTGTAAACTTATAAACACAAATTTTCATTGCGATGAAAATCAGTAAGATACTTTTCCAACTAATAATTTTTTCTTGTCTAGATCATTTTAAATTGTGTTTGTTTGGGGAAAAAAACTATATTTTCTTTCCCTTGCCATTTACAGCTAGCATACATCTTATTCTTTAGTCTGAATTTCAGTCAAAGGTCTGCAAAGCCTACATTTGTTTGAATAATATGCTAATCATACTTGCCCTCCAGTAACCTACTTGCATTGATATTGGACAATTGCCAACCTGAAGCTTAATGCCATGGTTATAATTCAATTATTGGACTGCATACTGATTTTCAAATATAGTTTTATAAAATGGGAACAGCAGGGGGCATACAGAGCTCAAGATGTTTGGTATCATATTGTATTGGAAGGCCATATTTTACATTCTTGAATTTCTGATTTTATGTGGTTTAATACTGAGAAAGGCATTCCTTTTTAAATATGTTCACTATGTATAATATATATTTGTTCCTGTTAGTACTTAGACTTTATCAGCATCATATTATTCTGTAATTTTGCTCAATTTATTCTGTGTGTGTGTGTGTGTGTGTGTGTGTGTGTGTAAAAGTGGGGAAGGAGGGAAAAAAGGAGGCAGAGAGGCAAGGAGAGAGAGAAGACAAAAAATGTTTAACTTAATACCTGAGTAGTAACTGTATATAGTGTATTTTGCATTTTGATTTGCAAAGAGTGTGCTTCACTGCCTTCTCTGGGAGGGGACCAAATTCCAGCCTTTTACCCCTATTGTCAATGCCCCTTGTCAGTAGGAAGTAGCCAGAGAGAATCTGAGTCCTATTCCATGATTATTAAAAGGCTGGAATGTAAGGTCCACTCCTGGATGACGAGCAGACTCTACCCTCCTTGCAGCAAAGTCTCCACCCAGTACCTGCATTATCTAGGCAACTGGAACACTTGGAAGAGGTCACATCTGCATCTGCTGAGGTCACATCTGAATTTGATGTAGCCACACCTTTCTATCCCCATACCCTAGATAAGGCCTAGCCCACGCCCAGACACTCTTTCCTAGCTCTTTTCTAGCTCTTTCCCAGCTCTCTCTCTTTCCCAGCTCTCTTTTTCCCAGCTCTCTTTCCCAGGCCTTATCCAGCTGCGTGGAGGGCCAACGTGGCCTGGTGCCACCCAGAATGATGAATAAACCTACACCTTACCTGAAGAAAAAAAAAAGTGCTATGTAAATGGTAAAGCATTATGCAAGGGATAGCTATCATTATTGTTTTAGCATTTAAAATTTTATTAAGGAACACTCTAATTCTCATTACAAATATAAATGCTCTTCTAGCTTTAAATATTCAACAGCTATAAAATAGATTATATAAGGCAGGTAAAAATACTGCACAAGTACTTCCTTTAAGTGGGATTTCTCTCATTAAAATCATATCTTCACAAATGGCTGGCTTAGTGCCTATATTCCATGCCCATATGTTTGAATATTTCAAATTTGTTCTTTAGGAAATTCAGCATTGCAAATGTTTGGGGCAGAGTAACAATAAAAGTAATTTCTCAATGTGGCTTTGCCTTTGCAAAACACTTCAATAAATTATAGGCTGAACAAATATTTGACAAGTGCACCTGTTCATTGACTCTGGAATGTGATGGTCCATGATGAATAAGAATTTTCACAATTTCCACATCTCCTTTCCAGGCAGCCAAATGAATAGGAAAATAACCTTTGTTATCTGCTACATTTGTTGATGCCTCATATTGAAGTAGTTTGAGAACTATGTCCCTAGAAAGAAGAAAACAAAAAAATAAAAGAACACAACAGAAAAGAAAACATACTAAACAACACAGATTTCATTAGATTGATATATTTCATTAGATTGATATTTTGGTATATATTAGAGGCTGACTGGTATTTAAAGAAAAATTCAAGGCATTAAATAATAAAATTTGGTTTAAGAGTTTGCATAGTCAACACAATTTTTTACTTACAGCATGCACACACATACTTTGTACTGACTAACCAATGAACTACTACCTAGAATTCATTTGGGTAAAACATTTATTTTATTAACCCAATAAATTTATTTTATTAACCCAATTAACACAAGTGTGTGTGTGTGTGTGTGTGTGTGTGTGTGTGTGTGATTGGATTAACCATAGATAGATAGATATAATACCAAGAGATATTTATGTAAATTCTATGTCATTCCTGTAGAAAATTATATACATAGAGGAAAAAGGTGGTATTAGGTCAGTGTTAAAAATTTTAAAGGTTAATTATCTTTCAGTCATGGTATATAACACACTTCAAATGTATGTCGCCATATGTTGCATTACCCTTTCTCCTCCAAGCCTAAGGAATGATTTCAAGGAGGAAAATTCATTTAAGAGGTAAGTTCTGAAATTGATACAATTTCAACACATAGTCAAATCACAGTTATTTGAAGATTCCACATTCATGCTTCACCAGGATTTCAAAGTAAAACTTTTTTTATTATTGTTAAATGGTTGTACAAAGCAGTTGCCATTCACCAAAAGTTTTTTGGGGGGGAAGGGGTAAGTGGGGAAATGTTGGTCCTGGGGCTTAAATTTAGAGCCTGCACTGTCCCTGAGCTTCTTCTGCTCAAGGCTAGTACTCTACTACTTGAGGTACAGCTCAACTAACAGCTTTTTTGGTAGTTTAATGGAGATAAGAGTCTCACAGACTTTTCTGTCTGGGCTGGCTTTGAACAGAGATCCTCAGATCTCAGCCTCCTGAGTTGCTAAGATTACAAGAATGGGCCATGGGTGGCCAGTTTAACAAAGCATCTTATGAATACAATGTGTCTTACTCAATGTCACCTCTTTGAACATCCTCATCCCTGTCTCCCAGCCCCCTCTTCCCTACTGTTTCTAATTTTGTAAGATATGCATTAAATATTTTGCTGCATTTTGCCCCCTCAAAGTAAAACTCTTGAATTAAAGCAAGCCCAGGAAGAATTAATTAATAATGTTGCTATACATTATACTGAACTCTGCAAAAGAATCAAAAAAGGATTTCTAAACAAAAACTATTTTCATTTAGATATGTTTAAGACACAAATTCTAATATTTCATTAAGGGCTATCCCAGACACATACATATATACATACAATTATAGTATATTCTAACATTATTTCTTAGGTAAAAATCAATAGGATATATGTAACAGAAAAAAATAATTTTTACAAAACCAAGGCTCTGCAAGTCATAAATTTAAAAAAATAGAGAAAATCTGAATACATCAAGGCTAGATTTCTGATAGCTCACAAGAAACATTCACCTATTATACAAAATAATGATGCTATTTTATGAACTGATTAAAAAAAAAAAAAACACTGCCCTAAATGTGACCTAAATAGTCGACTCAGTTGTTACATGTATGAAATCCTAAAGAATGACAGAAATATAGGAACATTTAGAAAGTTCAACAGATACCTAAAGTTTCTAGTGATAAGATTTCTGACAATTTAAGCAATACTTTTATCTTTGTTTGGGGGGGGGGGTTTCTGGTCGTGAGGCCTGAACTCGGCCTGGGCGCTGTCCCTCAGCTCTTCAGCTCAAGGCTAGCGCTCTACCACTTGAGCCACAGCGCCACTTCTGGCTTTTTTCTTTTTTTGGCATGTATTTTTAAAGCCAGTATTATTTTTTTGTGTGTGAAAATACCTTACAGAGGGGTTACAATTACATGAGCAAAGTAATGAGTACATTTCTTATCAAGCATTGTTGCCTCCTCCTTTGTTTCCCCTTCCAATCCCTTCCCATCTCCCCTCCCCACCCCACCCCTCCCCACGCCAAAGTTGTAAAGTTCATTTTTTAACATCTCATTATTGTACATCTCATTGTTGCAATGGGTCCACCTGTATCCCTATTAAAACAATTTATTTTTTCCCTTCCCCTCCACAAATTATACCAACATTAAATACAGTGAAAACAGGGGTTATATCGTGGGGGAGGGCCAGTACTATTTTAAAAGACCTAAATTTAGAAGGCTTAGGTTTGCACTATTCAAACTACCTAACACTGTGACTCTAGAAAATTTTAGTCTCATTTCCTTTTACTTTTCTGTAAAGAATACTGTAATAATGATAATGATACTACTAAAGTCTGATAAAAGAAATAAATGAGATAACAAAAGACAAGTCATTTTATAAATAACAAGACACTATATAAATATTAGCACTAGTCCCAAGTAAAACTAAAAAACTTTAGATATAAAAATGCTTATGGAAAATCACCTTTCAAAAGATTATCTGGCCCAACCACATAGTGGTTCACACCTGTAACCCTAGCTGTTCAGAGAGGCTGAGATCTGAAGATCATGGTTAGAGGCAACCTAGGACAGTAAGTCTGTAAAACTCTTATCTCCAATTAACTACCAAAAAGCTAGACGTAGAGATGTAGTTCAAGTGGTAGAGTGTTAGTCTTGTGTGTAACAGCTCTGGGACAATGTCCAGGCCCCGAATTCAAGTACCAAAACAAGCACAAAAACATAATAATAAAAAGAATTCAAAAATTCAGAAGTTCACATCATCCTCTTTGTCTCTCTCCATAAAGAGTTGTTATGTAAGATCTTCCATTTTGAGATACTGAGGTAATAAGGATTCAATTACTACTTTTAAGTAACAAAAACTTCTAAGAACCAGAAGATCTTGCTTAAAGTCCCAATTCTCTACTAGTTATGAAGTTGGTTACCTTGAGGCAAATCAAATAGCCTCCATCTCTCTCTCAGATATTATTAATATAGCCAGGCACTGGCAGCTGTAATTCTAGCTGTATTGAGTAGCTGTAATTCTTATACTCAAGAGGCTGAGATCTGAGGATCACAGTTCAATGACAACCTGTGCAGGGAAAAGTCCATGAGGCTCTCATCTCCAAAAAGCCAGAAGTGGAGCTGTTGCTTAAGTGGTAAAATACTAGCCTTGAGGAAAAAAAAAAGCCAACTAAGAACTTGAGGCCCTGAGTTTAAGCCCCAGTACTAACATATAGATAATAAACATACTTTTAATATAATAATAATGTAGAATGATATGCTATCAAAAGGTATTCAAGACTGACTAGTACCATGTTAACAATTCTAATAACTTTTTAAACTGAAATGCCTCAGCATTTCAGAAGCTGGTCAAACTACATATCTAGAATTATCTACTATAAAATAAATTCCTCTAAATTAATGCTAAAGACAATTATAATAAATGTTTTTAATTTCCTTTCTTCATGATAAGCAAATAAAAAATTCTAAAACTTCTCCTATAAAGCAATTCCTTCTGATATGGTTTGGATATAGCTTGAGAATAAGAGTTTATGTGTTTGGTACTCATCATGAGGCATTAAGAATGTAAACCTAGGCTGGGAAGGTAGTTCAGTGGCAGAGTGCTTGCCTTGCATGCATGAGGCCCTGGGTTCGATTCATATTAAAGTGGAAAAAATAAAACATGATATTTCTGATGTAATGAATGAGGGATGATACTTTTATCAAACACAAAATTGAATTAGTCATATTTACAAAAACACGTAAATTGATTATACTCTGATACTTGGCATAAAAAATTAACTCTAAAGAAACATAGGTCCCATGGTTTCCCTTATTTGCAATAACTAGTATATGCCTAGGATAATCTTATCAGACAAGCAGAAAAGATCAAAAGCTATGTACACATGACAATATAAGATAATACTAAGCGAAATGAACCTCAAGATAGAGACACAAGAGGTTTTTTCTTTGTCACTGTTGTTTTTAATGTACTATGTGATTTTTTTGTTTCTTTTGTATGGTCTTTCCCCATGGTATAACCCCTGTTGTCACTGTATTTGATTCCAGTACCCTGAATCTTGTGAGTACATTTTTCTAACTTGGGGAGGGGAAGGGGAATAACAAAATGCTGAAAGGATACAGGTTATAACAATGAGATGTACATTATAACAATGAGATGTACAAGACAGTATGTTGAAAACAAACTTTACAACTTGGAGGTGGGGAGGGGAGTATATGAAGAGGTGGGGCAGAAAGGAATATCGGGGGAAAACAAAGGAGGGGGTAACAATGGAAATGGACTCATTACCTTTCTCATGTAACTGTAACCCCTCTGTACAGTATCTTTACAATAAAAAAATTTTAATTAAGTCACTGATTTATACACAAAATACCACCTTCTCCTGTCTAGTCAGGAGCCAAAATCCTTCTGATCTCACTTTTCCAGTTGCTAAGATGATAGGTACGTGCCACCAAATCCAAATATTGTTCAGATGGGGTCACATGAACTCTTCGTCTTTGTTGTTGTTTTGTTTTGTTTTTGTCAGTTGTGGGGCTTGAACTCTAGGCTTGGGCACTGTCCCTGCACTCTTCAGCTCAAGGTGAGCACTCTACTGCTTAAGCCACAGTGGCACCTCCAGTTTTCTAGTGGTTAATTGGAGAGATGAGTCTCATGGACTTTCCTCCCTGTGCTGGCTTCAAACCGTGATCCTCAGATCTCAGACTCCTGAGTAGTTAGAATTACAGGTATGAGCCACCAGCGCCCAGCACATGAACTGTTTCAAAGGCTGGCCTCAAACCATGATCTTCTCTCTTTCTCTTGTGTAGAATTTCAGATGTAAACTACTGCCAGACCACTAGATTTATGCAATGTTTCAAGAGTGTCTTGGTGATAAATAATGAGAAAAGAATTGTATATTTCTTACAGTGAGAGGTTATGGCTATCAGGTTTAAAATCAAATAGAACCAAGTCTCATGTGCTTCAACTTACAGAATAACAACTATATATTAGATGGGAAAGTAAAATATAACTAGTATTTTTAAAACATTAATTATCAAATCTAAAGTGCTAAAGCTACAAAAACTATCTTGAATTATTCTTTAAAAAAGAAAACAGGGAAATATAAGAAAAGGATCATTTTTCTTCTATAAGGACAGAAATCTGAATTACTTAGAAGATCCATCATACTTTGCCACTAAGTGGTGGGTTACTAGCTGAAATACTAGATACAAAGTGGTGGTTATGGTTATGGTTACGGTTATACATTCTTCACATCCCATGAAATACACTATCCACTACTGAAAAACAATTCCCTAAGTTTAAAATGTTTACAGTTTTTAAGTTTAAAACAAGAAAGATGGTTCTGAAATACATGAAAGCATTTTGCTAAATATGAAGGAGTTGAATATGGTTCATATACATATCCATGGCTTATAATAACAAGATTGTACTACCAGTGAATATTTCTATGTTGGGTGAGGATTAAAAAAACACCAAACTGGATAGATTTATAAAGTGGTTTTATTCTATCCTCTTCCCAAAACTACATATGGTCCTGTTACTGCCTTTATCTTCCCTGGGTAAAGTTTGATTATTTCAGAGTACTGCAGTTCACACTCAATACACAATCATCCTTGACATCCTTGCACCTCTCCAAATTCACCTAAGACAGGTAGACTCATGGCAACATAAGAAATATATCATCAGAAATAATTTTATCACATGTAATTCAGTACACAAAAATTCTAGTCCAAATAAGTAGCACTTACTTATGTCCATTTAAGGCTGCATGGTGTAAAGCAGTGTAACCAGAACTATCTGTGCAGTTGACATTGGGACCTCGCCAGATACTGAAAATGAAGCACAGCATAGAGTTAATGGTTAAAAATCAGGCTTAGAAAAACATAACAAAATTCAAAAGTTCCACAACCAACAGCATGTAGTATATGAAAAATCTTAATCATGTAGTAAACAATTGTCATTTTTCATTCATATCCCTCAAAGTAACTTAATTTATCTGGTGCAGGGAATAGAACTATCTTCAGGAATTATTAGTGAGTGTGTATTAACCGCAATACATTAAACCTGCTTCTAAAAACTCCTAATGGCTATTATACTTAAATATTAGCATTTGGATATATATTCTCTATCAGAGAATAAAGATTAATGACACCTGCCTCTTCCCTTTTAACACACTACATAAGCAGTAGCTTATGTAAGGTAAAACTCATTTTTTTCCTGTGGGAAGAATACAAATTCTTCTTGCTATTCCATTGCTACCAAGAAAATATAATCAATATTTCATACTTGAAAATAAAATTAAAATATTGGGACTACTGTAAATCATAACAAATCTGTAATTATTAATATATTTACAATTTATTGTGGAGATAATAAATGGAAGAACCCATTTTAGCTGGGCACTAGTAGCTCATGCCTGTAAATCCTAGCTACTCAAGAAGGTAAATTCTGAGAATTGCATTTTGAAGCCAGCCCAGGCAGGAAGGTTTGTGTGACTGACCCTTATCTCCAATAAACTACCAAAAAGCTGGAAGTGGAGCTATAGCTCAAGTGGCAGAGAACTAGACTTGAACAGAAGAGCTCAAGGACAGTGCGTAGGCCCTGAGTTCATGGCCCAAGGCCAGCACAAAAGAAAGGAAGAAAGGAAGGGAGGGAGGGAGGGAAGGAAAGAAAGGAAAGGAAAGAGTAAAGAAAGGAAAGGAAAAGAGTAAGGAAAGAAGTAAGGAAAGAAAGAAGTAAGGAAAGGAAAGAAGTAAGGAAAGAAAGAAAGAAAGAGCCGGACACCAGTGGCTCACACCTGTAATCCTAGCTACCCAGGACGCTGAGATCTGAGGATCACAATTCAAAGCCAGCTTGGGCAGGAAAGTCCATGAGACTCTTATCTCCAATTAACTTATCTCCAATTAACCACCAGAAAACCAGAAGTGGTGCTGTGGCTCAAGGGGTAGAGTGCTCACCCTGAGCTGAAGAGCTGAGGGAAAGCACCCAAGCCCAGAGTTCAAGTCCTTTGCCAGACAAAATAAATAAATAAAAATAAAATAAAATACTGAAAGACTACTTTCCTGAAAAATGAAAAAGAATGACTTTAATTGATGTTCATGATGATACGAAAATTATCAAAGGTATTATATAATGACAAACTGAATATTCATATTTTTTTTTTTTTTGCCAGTCATGGGGCCTGAACTCTGGGTCTGGGCGCTGTCCCTCAGCTCTTCAGCTCAAGGCTAGCACTCTACCACTGGAGACACAGCACCACTTCCAGCTTTTTCTGTTTATGTGGTGCTGAGGAATCAAACCCAGGGCCTCATGCTTTCAAGGCAAGCACTCTACCGCTGAGCCATCTTCCCAGCCACTCATGAAATATTTATTATAAACCATTCATAGGTTACATATTAAGATAGATATATAGAGCAAAAATCATAACTCAAGGTCTTTCTTTATCAGAAGACAGACTAATGGGGAGGTCAGACACATGAGCTAATAATTAACTGTACTGAGATAATTAAGGTACCAGAGAACACACAAAACAGCTATTGCAAATGAAAGATTGAGAGTCTACAATTATGATGAAGAGTTCCTCAAAAATTTCAAAAAACTGGGCTGGGAAGATGGCTCAGTGGCATAGTGCTTGCTTTGCATGCATGAGGCCCTGGGTTCGATTCCTCAGCACCACATAAGCAAAAAAAAAAAACCAGAAGTGGCGCTCGAGCTGAAGAACTGAGAGACAGTGCCCAGGCCCAGAGTTCAGGCTCCAGGACCAACAACAACACCAAAAACATCCAAAAAACTAATAAAATTAGGTGTATTCAGCAAAGTCACAAGATACTACATATATATGTATATGTAGTATATATGTATGTATGTATATATACATGTGTATATACATATGTACATATTTGTGTGTGTATGTATATATATATATGTATATATATATGTATGTATGTATGTACTTTTTTGTCAGTCATGGGGCTTGAACTCAGAGCCTAGGTGCTGTACCTGAGCTTTTCTGCTCAAGGCTAATACTCTACCACTTTGAGCCACAGCTCCACTTCTGGTTTTCTGGTGGATAACTGGAGATAAGAATCTCATGAACTTTCCTGACCAGGCTTGCTTTGAACCACAATCCTCTGGTCTCTGCCTTCTGATTAGCTAGGATTGCAGGCATAAGCCACCAGTGCCAGGCTTTATGTATGATTTTTTTAGATGCTAGTAAAGATCAGTAGCTGAATGTTTAAAGAAAATAGAAAATGTTGGTTACAAAATGGACCATTTCATGAAGAATATAAAATATTTGGAATAGACTTGATAAAAGATATGCAAACCTATACCGTGAAAACTACAAAATATTGCTGAGAAAAAGGAAAGAGGGATTAAACAAATGGTAAGATATGCCAAATCAATAGATCAAAACTGTTCTAATATCAGGTTTTCACAAATTGATTTTTAGTTCAATGCAATTAAATCAGTCCCAGCAAGCTGTTTTACAGAAATTGACTGCCTTTAAAATCATATGGAAATGCACAGGATATGAAAGCCAAGAAAAATGAAGTGGAAATGTACACATCTGATATCAAGATTATAAAAAAAATACAGTAAACAGACTGACAGTGTAGTAGTTGAAAGAAGAACAGATCAATAGATCATAATGGAGAAACAGAAAGTTCAGACAGACTCCAGTATGTGTGTTATTGATTGTTTTTGACAAAGATTCAATGGAAATTCATTAGAGTCTTTTCAAAAATGATGCTGAAACAAATGGGTAGTCTAGGGACAAAATAAAATCTTGATTATATACCTCCCTCATCATGCCATGCATACTACTAAAACTGAATCACAAATATAAAAGTGAGACCAAAAACTATAAATTTCTGCAAGTAAATGTAGAGGAGAATTTTTGTGATCTTGAGTTAAGCCAAAATTTCTTAACTGTGACATTAAAAGCATAACCCACAGAAAGTAATTTGATCAACTAGACTACACCAAAATAAAGAGATTTTAGTCCTCAACAACATTGTTAAAGAGAATGAAAACAAAATGGACTTGGGGCAAGGCGGGGGGAGGGGGGAGGGGGAAGATTTGGATAAATCAAATATCCCAATACAGTTTTTGAACCAGAATAAATAATCTTCTAAATGCACTAAGAAAATCAACATCCCTATTCAAAATGAGCAAACAACAGATATTTTTATAGAAACTTTATGTAGTTGGTAACTAAGAATATGGAAAGAAGACAGGTATAGTAGAATAGGTCTGTGATCCCAGTACTATGGGGCTAAAGCAGGAGGATCATGTGCTTAAGGCCAGCCTAGACTATAGAGCAAGTTCAAAGCTAGCCCAGGCTATATAGCAAGCCTTGGCCTCAGGAAAAAAGAAAAGATAATATCATTTTTCTTTTAAGTAGTAAAAACTTAAAAATTAAGGCTCAAGATATGAAAATGAAAGTGAAGAAATTCTGAGACACCAGAAATGAAAAGGATTCTAAGGAACTACTGTTACAGTTTGAATATGAAATTTTCTTCATCAGTTCTTACAGCAAAGGCTTGGTCAGAGTCCATGGTATTATTTCAGGAGATGGCAGAAACAGGGAATGAGAGATCAAGGTGGAGAAAGTGAGTGGCCTCAGGTTTTTGACAAAGATAAGGGAGGAAATTCAAATATGCTTTTATGTTTAAAAGAAAACTGATAGGATATAGTTTCCATATGGATAAGAATAAGAGAATGACTGGGGTATCTACTATAAATGAAATATATCCATAGTGATACAGCTCCATTTGAGAGAATTACAGGGCAGTGATATTTTCTGGGGGAAGCCAAGTTTCAGTTAAAGATGCCTAGAAGACTACACTGCTCATTATATTTCAGGAAAAGAAATGAGAAAACACTGCAAATTCACGTGTGTGTGTGTGTGTGTGTGTGTGCGTGTGTGTGTGTGTAAAATCCCTGAATGTAATTAGACCTTGTGTGTGTGTGTGTGTAAAATCCCTGAATGTAATTAGACCTTGTGTGTGTGTGTGTGTGTGTGTGTAAAATCCCTGAATGTAATTAGACCTTGTGAATACTTACCAAGGTAAGATATTTATAACCATGTATAAGATCCATATGTTTTATTTATCTATACCATATCAAGGCCCTAGTATGAACAATTAAGAATTATAATGAGGCATTTTAAAAGTCCACAACATGTCTTTTTCTGGCTGAGTAAAGGTGGATAAATGTGGGCGTTTTGGATAGCACCGAGATTTGAATTCAGGGCCTCAAGTGCTTGCTTAAAGCACTCTACTATTTACTTGAGCCACGCTCATATATTTTATGTTTGTTTTTCAGAGTCTTGCACTTTTTTTTTTGTGAGCAGAGGGGTTACAATTACATGGGCAAGATAATGAGTACATTTCTTATCAAGCATTGTAGCCTCCTCCTCCTTTGTTTCCCCTTCCCATCCCCATCCTTTCCCCATCCTCCCCCCCCCATCCCCTCCATCCTCTTCTTCCTCCCCGCCCCACCAAAGTTGTAAAGTTCATTTTCGACATAAGGACTTGTACATCTCATTGTTGCAATGGGTCCACCTGTATCCCTATTTTTTAAACGATTTGTTTTTTCCCTTCCCCTCCACAAATTATACCAACATCAAATACAGTGAAAGCAGGGGTTATACCGTGGGGGAGGGACATACAAAGCAACAAAGAAATAGAGAGTCTTGCACTTTTGACTGGACTTGCCTCAGACTTCAATTGTCCTACATCCCCAATAACTGGGATTTCAGGTATGTACCACTATACCTGGCCAAGATTCATCATATTTTAAATAAGGATAAAAAGTTAGTTAAATA